AACTCACCTAATTCGATATAATAATAAACCTTCAATTCTAAATGCTATTTTAATAAATGATTACTTAGCAAAATTATTTATGTTGACTAATAGATTTTATTAGAATGCTAAGGGGATGTTTGATCGTGGGTGCAAACACAATTTTTTCAGTACATAAAAAGTGAATAGTTTGAACTCTCATAGAAAAAAATCGCTTGATTACTACGCTGTAAAAAATTCTGGATTGCGATAGAGAGCATTGGTATACCGTGTGCCGGTTTCATTTACCATAAAATCCATTTTTGTCCTAAAAGTTTATAAAACAATAATTCTAGCAAAACGCCATTTTTACTGCAAAATTATCGATTAACTGACTTTAAATACATATTACTGTAAAAACTACGGTATAAAATTTTACGTTAAAAGCGGATTCTAATTTAAAAATAGATTTTATGAATGGTGTATTTAGGTGCCAGTACTCTATCCGCAATTTTGTTTCATGACGGAATTTCGTTTTAGATAAGAAATAACAGTTATTGCGAAGAAATCATCTGTGTTGGTGTGTGTGGTTGCAAACAAGGAGCTTAGTCTCTATTCCGGATTATTTATATTCACTAATAGGTCTTATTAAGAGAAATCCTAAGGTAAATATTTGGAAATATAAGCTAACACAATATTTTAGTTCACATGTAAATGATTTCAACTTTTGCGGAAAAAGCTATTTTATACCAACACCGTAAGAAATTTCTCATAAAATTATGATACAATAATTTATTGCGAAGTAATCGAAAAATAATTGCGTAAAAATTATTGGGGATCAGTGGGTGACAGCGAGCAAGAGGTGGAGTTTTTTAGTATTTAATATTATTTGTAAAATTAGGAAATATTACAAAATTATGTAATATTATAAATGCAGTGAGTAATTATATAATATATGAAGTAAATATAGCATAGTTATAAGGAAAGAAGTGTAGGAATTCAGAATTAACCGAATCTTTAGCATTTGAGTATGCATCATTAACCCACTTCCTTCATTAATAAAATTCAGTGCTTTAAAACACAAAAACCTAATAGTGAGAAGGTTGTATTAAGTAAAAAGTTTGCGTAGAAAATTTCAAAAATCATTGGATATTTATAGATATCAAGATAAATTATCATATTACATTAATTATTGATGCATACTATTGGCAGCATCATTGGGTCTCGAAACCAGAAAAAATTATAAAAAATCAATTGAATTTAAAAATGTTGTAAGACATTTTCCGACAAAGCCTATAGTAAAGCTACATTATTTTGAAATGTTAAAAATTTCATGATTTCAATTTAATTTCACTCTTTAGTGTAAGAACATACCAAAGCTGGATAAGAAAAGCCAAATATTTGACTACTTGTTTTTTAGCAATGCGTGTAAGGCTACGGAGTTGAACATCAGTAGTCGTAAACCCAAAATTGGGTCGGCTGTTTAACGGTGGTTATAAAAATAAAAAATAAAAATAATGCGCTTTAGCCAAATATAATCTGAAATGCTATAAAAAAATTAATGAACTTCCTAAGACACAGGTTTGTTGGATTTAAAAATCAAAATTTTAATAATTTATCCACCAACGACAAAACTGGATTGTGGAGTAAAAAAAAAAAAACAATAGAAAAAAAAATATTCGAATAGAACATACGAAAGACTCGCATAAAGCAAGCACTTTCAGGTAAGACAGGCATAAAAAAATACTCTCCCATTGACTTTACTTCTCTGTAAAACTGTTTCCCTGCTTCAGGTGTCAATATGCAGGAAAAGTAACAAACGCTGCTTTTTCCTTCCTTCCTTATCTAACAGCCGGAGGAAGATCTGCAGCGGCAACATAATCATCAACACTTTTTTCATTGCATAAAATATCAAGAGAAACTGTGTGCAACCATTTTCAAAACAGTTGTCCACAAAAGATAAAGCATTGAGGGAACGTATCCCAATAAATGAATTTGTTGGTACAATTTATTTTTTGGGCAATTTCCCTCACCATTATTACAGTTGATGCTTGTATTGTGAATTTTTGTTCTTTTTTTTCTAATGTTTGAAACATTTATTATGGCTTGCAATTTGCTTACTTATTTATGAAAAACTGCAATTTAATCATTAAGGTTTGAGAAAAAAACAAAAAAAAAATTCGAATTAATGTTGCTCAATAAGAGTGAAGTAGAAATTTTACATGTAAGTACTGGTGCAAAGTTTGAATTCACACAAAAAATACCAGCTTTAAATTTTTTCAAGGTGTTATAAAATCATTCAAAAATTGTTTCAAAATAAATCTTGCGAATATTTTTTTTAATAAAGTCATTAAAAGAAGGGAAATTAAATTAAATTAAAATAATTCATTCATACTGTTTCAAAATTTCATGAGTCTTAACGACTAAAGATATTTTTAATATCGACATGTGAGAGTTTATTCTTAAAAAATAAACTCTAAAAGTAAATGTTTACGTATTTTTTCTATATTTATTTAACCGTGAGATAATTTTCCTTTTTAAAAATACACCTGTCATGTTTTTATTAGAATTACATATTTGCCAGAATTTTTATTTCCCTTATTTTACAAATTTATATTATTATTTAATAATTTTCAATCCCTTTCTAAATAAATAAATCAGTTTTTCAACTTTAATTAAATCTATGAGCGAATATAAAAATATAGTTTTGAATATTCCTTTCCATAATGGCTAACGTTTTATTTGAATACAAATCTACTATTATTTACTATTCTATGTCACGACGAATGGATATTAAAAATATATTTTTAATCTTCCCTTCTTCAACTACTTTAAAACTTTAGCATAAACGTTATTAGATTTAACTTAACGAAGGTTTTTCGAGGTTTAACAAAGGTTTTTTTTTCGAGGTTGACTTTGTAAGTCAAATTATTTAAATATTAACATTGGATATCGCAAGTTTGGTTCGAATGACTAAACTGTTGGCAACATTCTTTTTTCATTTAGCGCCATCAATGGATTTCCTTCTGTATTCTGAAACGTCTGCTACCAGTCACTTATTTATTGCCACTTAATTAGACTATTCGCGGTATTATAATTCTTATGGCCTGTTCTTATTAATATTATTCTACAAAATCATACGAATTATAATAATGGATTAATAAATTAAACTGGCTTTTTGAAGTAGGTCCTACTAAAATTACTGTTAGTGAAACAGATTTGTATGCATGATATTTCAAAATAAATTATTTATTTTCGGGCAAAAATATAATTCTATGGAGGACTGAATAATTACAACTGGAGAGTATTGGAATATCTACATCGAGAATTTTCAACATAGTCATATTTTCGAAAGCCGCTTTATTAGAGGATTTGATCTATTTTATAATAACATCAATTATCTAAATTTAACTAGAAAAGCACAAAAATACTTTAAAACGAGCATTTCTTGAAAAAAATTTAAAAATTCTTGGTTAATACTGATTGATAAGTAGAAATATGTAAGATATTTAAAAGATCAAAGGTGCACAAGCAATATATTTATCTAATCATATATTAGCCCGGTCTGTTAAATTAAATTTTACGCATTTGCTCCATACTTTTAATAATTATCTACTTATATCATTTATAAAAAATGAACCATAACCTAAGACAAATGATTTGAAAATTCTTCATTAAATACTAATCCAATTGTAGGAAAGGTTTAATATAATTTAAATAGAAATATGAGTTATTATTGCTTATTTTCGTTACATATGTTCTAAGAGTTAATGGCTTTTAGTTATATGTTGAACTTTCCTTATAGCAACAGACTAACTGAGATTCTAAAAATATAAAAAAATTTACGTTCTTTTTTTTGTAAAAGCGTAAAAAAAATTAAATGATGTTTGAAAAATTCCTTTTCAAACATTAGAAAATATTCTTTAAGTCTAGCGTATTACATACAGTATCTTATATCCTTGCCGCTCAATCTCTGTCACTTCGTCACAGTTTTTGAAAGAGTTTCCTTCTCTCTTATAACTTTGACCTAATTCTCGCTCTAAAAATACAACCCATAACTTAAATCTTAAATTTGTGTTTCAACGTATGAACTCTTGAACGAAAAAGGCTGGATATATAGGCAAGTGACAAACAAAAAACTCTAAGCGACACGTGATTGTCGACTTACCATACCTCCTGAACCCCTTACTCAACTCTAGAATAAAATCGTCGAAGCGCCATCGTGTGAAAAAGAAGTGTGGAAAAGGTCTTGGCATAAAAGAGCATTCGACCCTACCCCCTTCTGTTGACAACCTGTCAAAACGTAAATGGAGAAATGCGAACGCGAAAATGGTTCTTCGAATATTTTGTTGACGTCGAAATGGAATTGGGCAGTTGCGCGTGCTTTTCGTATGCTGCTCCCCTTTTTTTCCTGTTTTGGAACGACGCGAAGAGCCAGAGGCGTTATGGATAGATTTTATACATTGCAATTGCAATCTGTAATGTAAAAAAAGGTAAATAACTTTATTCTGACGATGATTAAAATGGAAAAGTGTTTGTTTATATAAATTACAAATTTGGGAACTGTCACTGATAATAAGCGATATTTCGAAGAAAAGTTGAAGACTAAATGTTTCAAAACGCTTAGAAATATTCTAGCGCAAAATGTTCACAAACTTTTTCTGTCGCGGAGTATTAAAACGGGAAATTTAAATCTGAAAATTAAGTTTTATCTAGCAGATGTTTGATGTTTAAATAATTTTAATTTTGGACAAATTTCTCATAACAGAAAACAAAATCATGAACAACATTTCAAGGCAAATACTGCCTCTCTACAATTTGTTATTATAATATTTTGGGACTGCTACATTTGTAGCAAGTCTTTACTTGGATTCCTACACAATTTTAATGGGATGGATGAGGTTGTTTTGAAACGCAAAATGATGTTATATTAAATTTACGTATCTTATTACCACAAATTTAGGAAAAAATAGTAGACTCCAAATTATATTTAACCGAATAAATAGTTTTAATGGCATACTCTAAGTTATAATGATAAAATTTCTAAATTTTACCAACTTTTTGTTGTTCCCACAGATCCCATTATACGGTACACTTTACCAACTCGGAGTAGTTTTTACCACACTTTTTTCCCCTCAGTATAGAAATGACTCAAAATATCAACAGTTTTGGAAGATAAAGCACCATTGTGACCTAATTGATTTAAAAATAACCTCAGACATAACTCAAAAAATATTCCAAAACATAAATTTATTCCCTAATTTCAATTATTTTAGAATAATTTCGCCAAATTGGGAGTTTAAAAAGAATTATAAATTTTCAAATATACGTTTTAAAATTCAGTCTACTCTTTACAGCTAATTATAGTTTGAAATTAAAATTTTAATTCATATTAAATTATTGCTTGTTATTCTCCTATGCAAATGAACTTCTGAAAACATCTTTTAAAAATATATAACATACTATGTGATAGATTGTAGAATACATTGTCTCAAGCTACATAAAAAGTGTGCTATGATCACAGTTTCCATTTCAACTGTTAGGAACATAGCATTAGGATGACTTAAAAACCTGATTTTAAAAATGTCTCTGGTTAAAAAATTTGTATCGCTTTTTAACAATTTAAGTTTTTATTCGTTAAAGTTAAAGAAAAAAAAGAAAAGAAGAAATTGTATTTAAAAAGGACTACTTTAATGAAAAAATCCTGATTTTATTTTTAACAAAATATATAATGATACTTTAAACTTACAAATATCAAATATGCTTTCAAGCGCAAAATACGTATTCAAATCTAAAGTAAGTATATATATATTCACAAAATTTCGCAAGAATGAGTGCGTTAATAAGCCGAAAAATATTCAAGCATAAGTAGCTATTTTAATTAGGTAAATGTTCTTTCAATACTAACACAGAACGTAAAGTAATTAATCTTAATCTGCTTTAAAAGCTCTTCATTTTAATTTCATGATTTGGCAAAATTTCGCATTCATTTTTAAAACTTACTTCTGCTATTACTTAAAAAATCTATTAAATTATTTTTCCATTCGTATCTCATGTGAAATTAAATTTATTTTAAAATGTAATCTATTATTTAGTTATGAAAAACTTCTTTTAATAAAACTTTTCTAACATTTGTATGAGCATGAACTGATTTCTGATCATACGTTGAATATCTATCACAATAATTTATGATGAAATGACAATAATTTATGGTGTTTTATGCAATAAATCGTAAATTACAATGACAAAACCGATTTCTGAAAAAATTTATCAAAACTAAGTGATGTTATATTTTTATGGTTTTCTGCAGAACTTTTAAAAACATTATCACATTTAATATTAAAAAAATCAATTTACAATAAATTCAAACCACATAAAAAATATTAGAGAATTCCCTGTTTTGCAAGATTCATTTACACTAACGCTAAACACAGTATATAAGTTGCATTGAAAAAAAGCGATTAATAAGTAGAAAAAACACTTTAAATAAAATTAATTTAGATCAAAAGAATTTTACAAAATATTGTGTATCAAAACTAAGTGATATTGTATTTTCAAGATTACTTGCTAATTTTTTTAAAAAATGATCACGTTTAACTTTTTAAAAAATTCAAATTACAATAAAGTCATACCAAATAAAAAATATTACAGAATTTTAAACAGAATCAGAGAATATGCAGAAGAATAATTCGCAAGGTTTACTTACGTTTACACTTAACACTATTTGCACGTTACCCTGCAAAAGAAAAGCTATAAATTAGTACAAAAAACACTTCAAATAAAATAAATTTAGATCAAAAGAATTTTACAAAATATAGCGTAAATATACATTTTTAACGATCATGTAGTCATTAAATATGACCCCCATTTAAGCAAGCTGCCTTTTCTCAAATTTTGGCCTTTAAAAGAACTTTTATTTTAAGTAACCGTTTTTCTTCCTTATTTTCTAAATATGAAAAGCAAAGCATTTTCCCCTAAATGTATGGAAAAATCTGTTCGAATTTATGATACCGTTTCTGAACTATAAAAACGCGGGTGGTAAGTAAATTTTAGACGATTTTTATTTTTAAAATTGGAAAAGATGTTGATAGGGCCCATTATCCTTTGTTTCCCTCGATCGTAAAATACGTTTAATGTAAGAAATCCTAATAACATGCACTCTCTTACATACATTAAGTCTAGTCACAGCTTTTAAAGTTAAATGAAATATTTATAGTTTTGATAGGCTTAATGTATAAAATGATAAAGTTGGTATACGTTTTTATTTTCTTGTGCCGCTATTTGTAGTCTAATATTTGTCAGAAAATATTTTAAATTAATTTTGTTTTGAGGAAAAATATGCCAGTATTGTGTTAAATATTTTAGTATCTTTTTTGTTATGTAGATTTTTACTTTTATTGCTGAGTGTTTTTTTTTTTTTTTTTTTTTTTTTTTTTTTTTTTTTTTTTTTTTTTTTTTTTTTTTTTTAATTTTAACAAATAATTCCGCTGAGAAAACCACTTTTATACTAGCATAGATAAAAAAAAAAACTGCACTGCACACTCCGTAATTACCATGTTCAATAAATAATTTTAAAATTCTTTTTTAAGTATATGATAAAAATTATATATATGTTAAAGGCTTCAACTATTTTGGCAAAGAAAAAAATCTGGAAAAAAAATCAAAGCCTAAACAAGAACTATTTATGTAAACAATATTAAAACCTGCTTTATTTCGAAGAAACTGAGATAGCGTGTAACGAATTTATTTTCAAATGTCCGGATTTTGATGTTTTTAATATCGCCTTCCATAAATCCTGATCAATTCAACTAATTTTTATGTTTCTAACGCTTAAAATACTCTTTGTACTCCTAATTTCTTTTTTTAACTTTACTTCCTTCAATTACACTGTAAATTACACAGAAAAATTCCGGATCAAATCACTGCATAAAATGCCAGCACTTTGAATGTATCATCAATAAAATCCATTTTTACCGTAAAATATTATACCGTAACTTTTTTAGTAATATTTGTTTAAATTTGAGTGATTCAGCAATTTTACGGTAATTATTACTATAAAAAGAGCGATAAATCAGATTTTTTGTTTCGGCAACATGCTCCTTTAAAAATGGATTTTATGATTAAAAAAAACCTTAAGTGCCGATACTGTTTACAATAATTTGATCCGGAATTTTTATTCAGTACCATTGCTTTATTTTTGACTATAGTCCTGAAAATATATAATAAATGTATATAGTAATATCAGAATATACCTCATTTGTTTTAAAAATGATTGACGAGAATTGAATTTATAGCTAGAATTTATTTTGATATATATTATTATAATTTTTCTAAACTAGATACTTTTGAACTTCATTATAATTATTATTCCTATTCAGATAATTTAGAAAAATGCCAAATTAATGAATTAACGCAAATTTAATAATAATTTTAGTCTTTTTAAGCTTATTTAAATGCATTAATTAGAATAAATTCGCAGGCCGATTTATAAATTTGCGTAATAAAATTTTTAATTAAAAAAATTTCACATTATTTCCATTTTTGTTTAATTAAATTTTCAGACATTGCATTAATTATAATTTTTACATTAGAATTTGAATTCTTACATTACCATTCGGAATTTTCTCACTCAACAATCTAACGCATCTTATGTCTTCGAATTTTTAATGAACTCATATGAAATTCAGCAATTTTTTAAATATTTGTTATGACATAAATTAACTGATGCTTGGGATTTACATCGCATTTTTTATTTTCACTTTAACCTAAGATAGTAAAAACGATAAAAATTTCGAAAAATGTTTTTTTGAATCTTCATTACTGATTACTTCATTTTTAGTGATTTTAATTAAAATTCTAATTATATATATTAATTATATATATTTAAAAGAATACTTTAAAATAGATATAGTGTGTTTACTAAAAATTATGACTCCTAACATACTAAGAGACTCGTAGGCAATGTACAGAGGAAGGATAACTTACGTTTTGGCTAATAATATATTGCTTTCAGAAATCTAGGTGGTTTTGATATCATATAATAAACATCAATATGCAGTGCACAACAATCAATCTGCAGTGCGCAACAAAAAACTCCCCCGAGAATAACTTTTGATGTAATCATTGAATTTTCATATACTAGGGCACAATCTCTTGATGGTTCGAGAAGATGACTTTCCGTATGTAATTAGTTAGTACAGACGATACTTTAAATTATAAAATCAGACACTAAAACACACTTTCTCTCAATAAACATACGTTTTATTCGACATATTTATATCTCTGGTACGCAAAATATAGGTGGAAGTTGCTATCTGCTAACTATGATTCCAATAGTTTGGCCAAAAGCGTGGACCAAATTTTTGACCAATTAATATCATTTTTACTTTTTGCGTATTTCGCCATACATTGAGAAATTTTTTAGCGAATCAAAAAAATTTTGCGCATGAATATAAAATTCGAGTGTCTAAGGATCTATGCAAAAATGCTGCAAAGATCTATGATCTACTTCGAGTAATCCAAGCCTGACAGGTATCAATACTCTTAAATGACGCATTCTATATTCTTACACAAAGATTCTTCCGCTGCACGTTTCTTACTTAACGCAAAGACAGGCATGTTGCCATGTAAAGCGTAAACAAACTGATTATGCATCAAAGTTTCTAGGTACACAAAACAAACATATATCATGCTTACAATAAAATACATAAGCAAATAATAAATCTAAGTTAACTAAAAGAATTGGACAAGATAAAAATTGTATTTCAACAAATTCGATGTGCGATACGCGCTGTATTCAATTAACTACACGTTAATTAATATTCTTACCTTAAGGTGGAGAAACTGAACTTTAACACGCCATTTTGCTTATAAACGGTCAGCTGGCTCTAACGTCATAGGTCACATGTGTGTGTATCCTTGATCTTCTTCTTCTTGTTCTGCAAGTACCCAATTAGACCAATTTTCACGTTTTTACTTGATAGGCTTCAAATCTTGCGTACCTAGTCAAAACATTTGAATTTAGAAAAACTGATTTAACGACAATCATTGTATAGGCAACTTTAAACAAAATGCTTGCTTGGGCCAACATCAATTATCGAGGCAATACAGCATCCATAATCAGACATTCTATTTTAGCATTAAATAAAAAACATTTTCCCCCTAAAATACAGCAAATATTATTTAATTCGCCCTAAGAATTCAGAATATATAAGGAACGTTTTTCTTATTTTGGATATCTTTTGCTACAATATAACCTACCTATGGGCTAGATTTAGGTTATAAAATACACCTGACTCTGTATAAACTTTCTACTTTATTGCTGAAAATAAATTATTGTTTTGAAAAACCTAGGCAAAAAGAAATAAAATATTTCTTTCTCACTATCGAAACTAGAAACAGTTTTACTATTTCGTTTTATCTTTAATACGTTTGTGAGTTATTATAATATACATCAAATATCCCATATCATCTTGAGTCAGACATTTCGCTTAAGATTTCTGAAAGAAAAGAGACCAGCGCATTACCAATTACAAAGATGAAAAACTGTAAGAGAGCGCAAAAAAAGGAGCAACAAAGAGTTAAAAAGAACCAAAAAAAAGAAAAAGAAAAGATGAAGATGCACTAATGCAAAAGGTCTCGTTAAATGTAAGGCTGACAAGTTTCTCTCACAGTCATAGAGATGATACTTGAAAGCGTCCATTAGGGTTGAGTCTTGTCCGTGACTTACAAAGGAGAAGTGTAATAAAAGACAGAAAAATTAAAAAATAAAAGACCTCCCGTCGCGGAGCCTTAAAATGCATTAATTAGCTATGACTTCTGAAGTACCGTCTAATCTATCTGGATTTTAACATCAAATTGATGTCGCCATTTTTTCCCATTTTCTCTTTTTTACAACCTACAAATAAGATGATGGCGATTGATTTTGGCTCTTAATGTTTAATACCTTGGCTTTATTTTTCTCCTCCCATCGCCGCTTTTGTTTTAACAATTGGCTGCAAAAGGCAGAGAGAACTCGGTGAATATCTTTTGGTCATGCATTATTTATGAACGTGTCGACAGAATATTGAAAGAAAGTGGGTTTTCTAAATCGTTTTAGGATGGTATTAGGGATTGTTGGTTGTGGAAGTGGAAAAACGCTGCTTTACCTGACCTTTGGCTGACAGCAGTGGATGAAAAATGAGTTTTTAAAGCAAGGATATGGCTGATGTTATTAATACTTGAAAAGAATGAGATTATTATTGTTTTCTTAGAACGATCTTCGCCTTACCCATATCGTTACATTTATCGTTAAATTACTATTAATTTCTTTTAAAAGGTTGTGATTACTGACTTTTTAAAGCTCTCTTCTTATAAATACTTCCTTTAATGCTCTCATAAGTTAACAATAATAATAATAATAATTCACTATAATTTTCACAATAATAATGTCATAACACTTTTCTTTTACACACTTTCTAAATGTTAAATACGATTTTAATGTATAAAAATTCACTGTCTAATTTGAACATTTTGAATGGAGGAAATGATGCAAAAATATCATGAAAATCTGGTGTTAAAGTTCCCCCAAAAGCTTAAAATCATCAGCACCTAGCTCAATATTGTTATAAATGCAGATGTATAATATGAAGACAGGATCAGTTTCAACTCGTACTTACGGATTTTTTAGACAATCAATCGTCGTAAACTTTCTTTTTTTAAAAAAAAATAAAATCAAGAAATTAGTCATCAGCGTTTTGAAAAGTATAAGAATCTGGAAAGAAAATACATTTCATTTTTTATAATTATAAGTATGATATAAGAGAACTATAATTGTTTGTTGTTCGAAAAGTTAAATATTTTCGTATTTGTATGATCTTTTTGAATCGAATTTACAACAAAGATGGATATTTATCTTTTAACAAAAATTATTAACATGAGAGAATTACCAAATGTGATAACTATTGATATATCACAGAAATATATCTTGTTAAATCCAATTCTAATAAAGATAGATATTTATCTTGAAACAAAAAGTATTAACATGATAGCCTTACCAAATTTGATAACTTTTGATACATAGGATTTTTTAAATGCGTCATCAATGTTTCACTAAACTACAAAATTCGTACATTTAAAATTACTAGTTGATGCCTATTTTTCGTTTTACCATAACTATAGCTTTCATTATTTTGTTACTAAACATTTTTTAAATTTTAACATTAGGTGATAGTTTGCATCGTTTTGCGAAAAATTTAATTATTGATTATGAGCTTCGTTTTTTCCTTAAATCCAGGTTAAAAAGCATGAATATTTATTACAATAAAGTTTGTACCAGTCAGTATTTTCAAACCAGCTGCTATTATAATTTCCAATAAGCTAATTTAAATTTGTTAAAGGAAAGGGTGAAAATGCTTGCCATCATTTTCTAGACATTAAATGTAGGTTTAAATATCTACAAAAATATTTGAAACAAATTACTTTACAGCAGTGCATACAAAAGTAATATTTGCTACTATACAGTTGAATAATAGGCTATATCTGCCTATTCATAGGAAGTTACAATATTTGAGCAACTTTTATGTCATTTTGAGTTACTATATTTATAGATCCGCCAAATGTAACTAACTAGTTTAAAATGCTCCAATTTAGCTTAAAATCAACCATTTAACTGAAAAGGAATTCAAATTTCTCCTAATTTTACTGTTTAGCAGTATTTTTATTCGCTTATTGTCATTAAAAACTGCATCAATTGGCTTTGCAAAACTTGTATTTTTTGTTCATGTCTTTCTTCGAGACCAATATAAAACGGAGATATCATATCAGCAAGTATCTTGGTCATGTTTCACTACATATTAAAATTTATAAATTTGTTCGATTTAAAAGTTTTCTATAAACAAAGGAAGCTAAATATGATTCAACGCAGCATGCGGGATTTCTAATAACAAAAGCAACTGTCTTTCTCTTCAATTTAAGATTTGATCTCAAACAAATGATAAATGCTAAGCCTTCCGTCATTTAGTTGCACAACATGAATTAAAAATTCATCAAATGAATTACGTTAACTTTAATTAAAATTCAATCGCTAATTGAATTAAATTACAAGTAGAATTTTATTTAAGAAATGAAGAAAATCGAAAACTTTCTATGAAATTTGAATAGCAGACACGTTAAGAAAATAACCAACCTGAACTCGACCCTGAGTAACTGAGAAAAAATTAAAAACATTTAGTTTTAATTGTTAATGTTCGTAAAAGTGTTAAATAAATGAATAAATCATATTTCAGCTTTGTTTTATTAGTAGTGGGGGATTAGCGAAACTTAAGTTTTGTAAGGACATGAGTTAATAGCATTCTTATTACTACAAAGCAAAGATAATATTGCGTATTTAGGAACAAATGTTAAAACTTCCTCAGAAAACAGTATATTCAAGTTAAGGCCATTGTGTGTTACCCCCCTAAGACTAATTAAAAGCTTCTTGAAATAAGAGCTCTGCCGATGCACAATATTTCCCTAAAATACTTACTCTTTATTCATAAATGCGGCAACGATAAACCACACGAGTCAACCTTGAAGCGAAATTCTATTTCTTTTTTTCCCTAACCCAACTCGCCATAAACTGAAGTCAAGATGTCTTTATCTTATCAAAGTTACAGTAAAAGTATTTAAGAGCTTGTTTGAGCGTTAGTGTACTGAAGGCGAGAGCGTTGGAGCGTGCACCAGTGTGAGCGCAGATTGAAGTGAACTCAGCCGTGAAAACAAAGATAAAGGCGTTCGCTTTATTCTGTTTTACTTTAGCGCGTGTCTATGAGCGTCCTAAGAGATTGTATGGAAAAGGAGCGTTAAACAGCTCTTTAATTGCTGAATCGTCTCGTCCGTAACTGGAGAAAAAAAACTGAGAAAGGGTTCTTCTCTATTTTTTTTCTTCTTTTTTTTAAAGTTTTTCTATTTTTTTCAGATTGCATTTTTTTTTTTTTTAAAAAAGAGTATACACTCTTATTTCTTAGACGTCTTTATAGTTTCGATAAACAAATTAAAAGGACATTTTTAATTTACATTTTAAATGTAGTTTCATTCTACATTGTAATATTTTCAAAATATGTTTTGGAATTTCAACATTATTTAAATTTGTACGAATTCATACTTAGAATATTTTAAATTTTTAATGACATTAAATTTTTTTTCAAACTTGTTGAATTGTTAAGATACAAAATTAAGCAGGATAAAAGTGCTTGTTTTATCCTGTTCTACTTCAGGTGTTTGCTATATCCAATTATAAGAGCCTTGTTAAGAGTATCTATTAGCGTTCAAAAGATTTATATGGAAAAAAGAGTGTTAAACAGTTCTTTAACTGAAGAATCATCTCTTTTATTACTGAAAAGAGAAATTGGATGAGGATGTCCTCCAATTCCTACAATCTTTTCTCATTTCCTCTATTTTAAAGTCCTCTAATTTCTTTCCAGTTTGCTTTCTCTTATCTTAAATTTTAAAAAAAAATAGATTATAATTTACTATTTTTTGACTTAAATTTGAATTACATATTTTTAATTTGCCTTTTAAATATGGTTTCGTGATATATTTTGCAATGTTAATAGTTAAAGATACGTTACAAAATTTAAACATTATTAAATTTTGTTCTAATAGCTAGCAATAAGCCATTTTACCTAGAAAATTAAATTTTACCTAGTATTAAGCTTTTACCTAAGAATTCTCTTCCATTAAATTTATTTCAATGATTTTCGTAAAGTAAAACAGAATGAAAGTGTTTTCTTTATTCTGATTCACTTTAGACGTTAGTGTAAATTCTGTTCTGCTCAACGTGTCAATGAGCATCCTAATAAATTGTTTTTAAAAGAAGCGTTTGAAATAGCTCTTTAATTACGGAGTTTAGGTTCGTTTTTTATCTTTAAAATAGAGTATGCACTACTGTTTTTATTCGTTTTTATGGTTGCGATAAAATTAATGAAAATATGTTTTTTCATTTGTATTTCATGTTAGGTTTTGTGATAGGTTGTGAATTAATCCTGCACAAATACATAGTTAATTATGCAATAATTTTTAAAGCACATTTCAAATGTTCTTTAATATTGAATTATACTCTCTGAATATGTTTTCATAAAAATTTTTTTAGTAATTTTTGTTAAATAAAACAAAATAAAAGCATTCGGTTTACTCAATTATACTTTGAATGTTTACTACGAACTGTAAAAATTCCGAATCAAATTGCTGTAGAAAAGTAAAGGCACTTAGGGTACTACTACTTTTTTATTGCAAAATCCTTTTTTTTTCTGAACATGTTGCGGAACAAAAAATCTGATATACCATAATTTTACAGTAATAATTAGCGTAAATCTCTGAATCACTCTAATTAAATAAATATTACCTTAAAAGTTACGGTATAATATGTAACGGTAAAAATGCTTTTTATCGTAAAATAGATTTCTTGTTTAATGCACCCAAAGTGTCAATAGTTTATACCGTAATTTTTTACAGTGTAGCCTGTCTTAATTTAGTAAATACTGTATGTAAAATAAGTGTGAAACAGAGCGTAAACATCTGTTCCGTAAAAGGAAAAAGAAATCGGATGAAGTTTTTACTCCATTTTCTCAGTTTGGTTTTTCATCTAGAGAGTTTTTCATCAGAAGAGTAAAAACAACTATTTTCATTCATTTTTGTGATATAGATATCGATAGATATTGAAGCATAATTTAATTTTAATTTTTCATCAATTTCTAAAGTATATTTTTTTTGTTTAGTAATAATGAATTATCTTCGAGTTCATTTGCATTGCATTTAATTTTTTCTGCAACTTTGGGGGAGTAAAACAGGTTGAAAACATTTTCTTTATCCGGTTTTATTTTATATATTAGCTGTATTCCGTTTTACTTTTTCACCTTTATGAGCGTCCTACAACTAGAAAAAATTCTGGTAAAATTACCGCACGGTATGGTTATGACATTTTCGGTAGAAAGAAAAAAAAACATAATTCTGGTTGATAAAATCAAAATATACGGTTTTTAAACCATTCATTTGATAGTTTTTCCGTTCATGTGTAATAGTTTAACAAAAACTTTGATTTTCAAAATTATAGTTCTCATTACCACACATTTAGTAAAAAAATGCAAATCGAAAAGTAAATTTAACCAAAGAAATGTCTTTCATGTCATGCTCTAAGGTACCATGATAAAGGTTACCAAATTTTATCACATATTATCAAACCATATTTTATTGTTAATGTTACCAAAATCAGACTAAACCTCTTCGTTAAAATTACCGAGCTTTTTGGCGCTACCATAGAACCAGAAATATTGTAAATTTTAGCATATTCAAGTAGCCATGCTGTTCTATTTATACATTTTTGAGGGATATGTAGTTTTTAATCACGTATAATGTAGTTTTTAATCACGTTAATCTCAATTATTATAAATATACATCATTACATATTAACTGTTGCATTCTTTTAAAAAAATACTG